TGGCTTGTGGCACTTTCCACACAATGATGGAAAATACATGCCTCCTCTCCTCAACACACAACAGCTCTCTGTCACGACCTCCAGCTGCTATTACAAAGTCATTAGCATCTACTGTGCCCCCGGAGGTGAGGGAAGCCAAACCCCGGAACAATATCATCTCTGCTAAAGACACAAAACTTCTGCTCAACAACACTGGCACAGAGAATTCTGGATAAACAGGCTCAGAGTTTTCTGGCACCCAGTGAGTGGCTACCTCAGAAAGTCACCTTGGTTTGACAAGGGCCCCATGAGAAAGATGCAGTTTGGGGTATTTTTATCTTAATCCTCATAAGCTATGGGTAAAAAGACCTACTATTCTGGAAATTCTCCCCCAAATTTATTCTTAAAAAAAAAAAGACAGGGTCTCACTCTGTTGCCCAGGCTGAAATGCAGTGGTATGATCACAACTCACTACAGCCTCAAATTTCTGGGCTCAAGTAATTCTCTCAGCCTCCTGAGTAGCTAAGACTATTCATGAGAATGAATTTGGGGCTAAGACTATAGGTACACACCACCACGTCCAGCTTATTTTTTATTTTTATTTTTATTTTTGTAGAGAAAAGATCTCACTATGTTGCCTAAGCTGGTCTTGAACCCCTGGCCAGTGCCATGAAACTACAAGACTGAGTTTGTCTTTTTTGGTTGATGTTACTTTGCCTTCATTTTCCCATCTCAGGTAGAACAGCAGCATTTTGAATCTTTCTCTATCATGTACTCAGCACCAATTCCATGAGTTGCTAAGTTTAGGGTCCCTGTCTACACCAGTACTTGGTTTGTATAAAAGTGCTGGGATCCCAAAGTGCTGGGATTACAGGCGTGAGCCACTCTGCCCAGCCCAAAATTAATTCTCAGGAGACTTTGACTAACCTGTAGGAGGAAATCCTCCATCCCCGTGTAGAGATAACTTGATAGCAGTGCTGTGGGAAGCATATTAATGTCCTCCTCCATCAGCTATCCGGGTCAGGCTGCAGGCAGCTTTGCAGTGGTGAAGCACAAGGACACTGCAGAAGGATCCCCAGCCTTGGGGTCATTGCCCTGGCTTCAAATCCAAGCCTTGCCTCGTTTAAATTGCTTTCATATGTATCTGCAGCCAGTGTTTCCCAAACTTCACTCATCCCATTACCTCCTTTACAAATATCTGTGCAACACCTGGGCAATAGCTACTTCATGATTTTCTTCAAGTACTCGCTTTTGTCCCCTAAATTCATTCTAAAAGAACCAGTTCAAATGGAAAGTCAGTATCATTTGCTATAATAGAGGGAATAGTAAAAAAAAAAAAAAAAAAAAAAAAAAGGAAGACAAAACAATGTTATTAAATTCTAGCTAAATTGTGTTATCCAACAAAGCTTCTTTCTGTAGACTAGAGAAATAAGCAAATATTAAACTGCATTTATACTTGCAGTTCTTAGAATGACTAAAAGAGAGCTTGAAAGTAAATAGCTCTCGCTTCTTGGTTCAAGGCTGTTGAACCACCCAAATCACCCCATTCTCATCTACATCCCACAGTTTAGGAAACCCCAGGCTAGTGACATGGAGCTACAAGGCTAAGTTTGTCTGTTTTTGTCGATGTTATTTTGCTTTCATTTTTCCCATCTCAGATAAAACAGCGGAATTTTGAATCTTTCTCTACCATGTACTCAGCACCAATTCCATGAGTTGCTAAGTTTAGAGACACTGTCTGCACCAGTACTTGGTTTGTATAAAAGGCAATACACAGACCCAGCTTGAACTGAGAGCGAGTAAAGGCCATTGGCTCTCCTCTGTTCTCAGTCATTCCTTCCTTTCATTTTTTTTCAGAAGCATTACAGAGAGAATGTTATATATATATAATTATATATGTATTATATATATACATATATATATTCAAAATATATTTTTCAAAAATTCAAAATAAAGCTATGTGAAAAACTCTTAGAGATCTCATATCATGTGAGATTTATTCAAAAATAGGTGCTAAAAATTCCAGAGACACTGTCCTCCATGCAAAATATTCCATTCCCTCACCAGCCATTTAGTATTCACCAATCAGGTAATATTCTGAGAAAAAACATATATATTTTTATATCTATAGCTTCTATATATAGCTTCATTTTACAGACAGAATGATTCAAACTCCAAAGAGGTGAAGACAGTCATCCAATTACAGAGCATCATCTTGAGATAAAAATAATCTAAACATCACTCCATTTTACACCAGGACTAACTCGCAATCCAAAGAGGTGATGCAAATGGCTGCCTAAGACCACATACAAGAGGTGACAATTTAAAAATCCCATAGTCTCCAAGCTTATGCTTTTGAGTCAAACACTAGGTTGGCCAGAGTCACATCTCTCACATGCAAACACCAGAAAAGCTGTTCTATCTGCCAATGTCACCATTAAATATTATGTTCCTCAAATTCTTCATGAAATTCATGACAATCCATCTCAGCTCATCCCAAAAGTCTTTATTTTTGTTTGGTTTTATTTTCTGAGGCCCTATCTGAACAAAGGTTGTAAATCAAAAGGAAAAGGTTTGAATGGACTTCCTGAACATTTTGTAGGATGATTGTCCTTTCAACGTTCTGTATTTCTTGGCCTTAGCATCTCCAACACTAGGTTCATTGTATTGCCCAATAGTGTCAACAAATGCTATGCACTAAAGGAAAAAAGCAGTGGACCCATCATCTGCTTTCTATCCCATGTAGCTTCCTAATCAATCTTTCCCTGAGATAATCTGGGGGCTGAGAATACATTTAAAGCAACACTGAATCCTGTGAACATTGCCCATTCTCCAAAGGCATTTTTTTTTTAAATCACAAAACAGGAAGTTCCAAGCCATTGAAACTCACCAGTATATTTGCTTGAAAGTCTTCTGGAACAACAAAACGGTACATGCCTATCCAGGCAAGCAGACTATTATAAAAGCAGATGTTTTGCTCACTTCCACCTCAGAGAAACACATTGTCAGTTTCGTTAACATCCTCTAGTCATTTGAACAGGCTTCTCAGGAAGTCAGCAATGATATAACTCAAGTACAATATGATCCTTGTGTTCCCATTTATCTCATACTTGTACATCTTAGCAGAAGATAGATGTGTGCATGTGTGTGTGTTAAATGAATTAGAAGGAAGAAAAATACTGGGCTACTCACTACTCTCACTAAAATATCAACCCACAGGAGTGGGATTCAAAGAACAAAAGGTTCTTCGAGGGTGTGGGCATTACTATACGTGGATGATATTCCTGCCAAGGGTTTGGCACTGCCTGTTCCCCACAGCCACCACAGAATAATTCACACACACACACACACACACACACACACACACACACACACAGTATTGAACGAAGAAACAGCCTAAGACAAGCAGGGGATGAAGTGACAGGGAGGAAACAAAGTAAGACAGGAAGAGAGAGGTAAACAGTAGTAACCCTGGCAAAAAAAAAAAAAAAAGGCAGTAGGCCAGTGGGGAGGGTTGTTGAGAAAAGGCATGGCTGGTGTCCATACCACATCCCTGTTATTAGAGAACTCATCCCACAGAATGCGACCATTCAGTGTGACTGAACAGGACTGCCGGCCACAGTGCAGGGACAGCAGAAACAAGAGCACTGAGATGCTCCTGAAGCATTAAAGAGGAAAACTGCATTAATATCTAAACTAATTAACTTTAGGTCTTTTAAAAACAAATATAGTCATCGAGCTAAATATTCCCGAGTCTCCAGAACACACACGGGTACCCACACATATGTGTGCACAAATGCACACACATACCTCTTTGCTAGCAACGAAAGTTTATTAGCCAGCATTAATGGTTTTACCCCTTATTTACAGAGTTTTTGAGATCATGCCCCAGTAAGTTTTTTTTTAAGCTAATGTGTTCATACAGGAGCATCACAAGTAAGTTTATCCAAGTCACTGTTAAACCCACACCTTGTCTTACTAACTCTGACCCTCTATTTAAATAGCTAATCTCTCTAACTTGAGGATGTTAGCCAAGGTTTGTTGGTGAGGCTGAAGAGGGACAAATAGCAGAGGGCAGAAGGGCCCCATCTCCAATCAACCTTTTTCTTTCTCTCAAACATCAATGCCACCCAAGTAGCACCAGAATTGCAAGGCATCCAGACATCAGTGGGGTTTGAACAAAGGGCCAAAGGTTCTCTTTATTAAATGTCTGCTTGGGGCCTTGCAAAGCCAGAATTTAACCTTATGCTACCGGGGTAATGTTCATTTGGGAGCACTTAAACTTAAATTACTCTTAAATCACTCCTCTGTGCTAGACACACCCAGCTCTTGGCAGTGAACCAGAGTCTAGATGCACCGCCCACAAGTCACTGTTCAAACCTGAAAGGCCTCAAAATCCAAAAAGTAAACACAGTTTCTTAATCACTTTTTTAAATTATCTTCTTCCTTTATCTCCAGCACCTTGTTTTTCTGTTGGGTCGTTCCAAGCAGAAGTGAGAAGTGAAATGTTAGGCCAGGGTGGACCACAGTGTTCTGGGTGCTGCAGCAGACGCTACAGAAAACACAGAAGAGGTGCATGCAGTTCAGCCCTTGTGACGCTGCCAGGGCACTGTCCAGGAAAGGGGGTCAGAGCACAGCATCAGGCCAGGCTGCTGCTCTATCCTTTATGAATGGTGTGATTTTGTTACTGAAGTTACTGAATCTCTGCTCCTTTGTTTTCTCATTTATAAAACAAGGATGATAGCAATGTCTAACTCATAGGACTATTGCAAAAATTAAATGAGTTAACATATGTAACAGCTTAGAACAGTGCCTTTGAACTTTATTATTATTATCCTCATTATTTCCATTATTATTGCTTAGTTTATAAGCCATGGATAACTTCCTATTGCCTACCAAGGTAAATACACACACCCTGATGTAGCATTCCAGGTTGGAACCATCTTCTCCAACCTACATTTTTAGCCTCAACTCCCACTGCTATCTGCCATGCACCACACAATTAAAACAAAGGAGATGGTTCATCATTTCCTGGACATATCTTATAATTCTCTAACTCAGCTCATATAGTCTTCTCTGCATTTCCACATTTCTATCAAAAGTGAATCCATCTTTCAAGTCCATTCTCAAATGCTGCATATTCTCTTAGCTTAAATTTCTAAATATTCATTGAACACGTACAATTCTGTAGTTTCTCACATGATGTGGCTTCATATACTCTGGTTGTCAGTGTGCTTCTTCAAAGGTAGCAACCAATATTGTATACACTGGATATGCTCTAAATAACCTGGAGTATAAAGGGAAGGATCGTTTTCATAATTAATTTATTTCTTTATTGCACTAATATAATGCCAGCTTTCAGAAGCTGCATGATCACCCTTATTCATATATAGCTTCTGTTCAACTAGTTACTCTTCACCTAAATCTGCTGTCAAGCCTTCCCATAGTTATGCAATTAATTTTGAAACCTAAACGAACAATTTTACATTTGTGTCTACTGAGTGACACCTTGGAGATCACCAGGCACCTTGCAGATCACCAGAATTCCAACTTGAAAAAGTAATGTGGATAATACTTGTTATCTTTTATATGGGCCATATACTCCAGTGAAGTCATCTAAAAAACTTGAGAAGCATTCTGTCTACATCATAGATACCAATGTGACATTACAGAAGATGAGGACAGATTATTGCTGCCATCCACTAGTTTCCCCAGTTTGACAGATCTAAGACCTTTAGATATGGTTATTTCATCAGCTGTCTAACTCACCCTGCCCACTTTCATCACCTTATCCACAAAGATATAATGAAATTTTATAAAACGCTTTCCCAAAACCAAGGTTTCCCTATGTCTACTTTTTCCCTAGTAAGAATCTTTTTTAACACTAAGGGGTTAATTTGCATGACAAACACATTTGTCTCCTAGAAACTACCACTCTTTCCTAATGCTCCAAAACAATGTCTGGATATATTTTTCATGTAATAGAAAAAAGAAGTAGGAGACTAATGCGGAAGAGTCAAACTTCAGTGATAAGAAGCAGCCCAGAAATCTCAAGCAGTCTGGGATATTTGTTCTATGAATCTAAGGGTCAGATGGACCTCTAAATACAATGCAGCCACTCCTTAGCAGTTTATAACTGCCAAGTAGAAGCGCACACCTCCTGGAATCTTTAGACTTGCGAAGGTTCATGATCCTGTCCCCAGTTGACCATTACATCAGGTGAGCCATGCAACAGACTAGGAAGAGTTAAGATCTCTTGGGCTCAGTTTCCTGATATTTTAGAGAATCTTAAGTTTCAACAATTTCACATTCCTGAATTGGGACATCCGTCCACAGAGAAAGACATTCCCCCACTCCTACCATGATCTAGAGCAAACATGAACAACCTCTAAACAGAGCAAAGAGTCTTGTGTGAACAAACCTGGCCTAACATTCTAGACTGTGATCTGCTCATTTCTAAATAGACTACCTAGTCTCCGAAAATGCCACCCTATTCACCTATAAGCCCCAGTATTTGTGCCCTTGTATAGTCTCCTCAACTCAAACCTGGGTTGGTCCTGCACTCGCATTTGACCTATAGGATATAGCAGCAGCAACACAGCATGACTGCAATGCTAGGTCACAAAAAGCCTTCCATCTTGGAATGCTCCCTCCAGCAACCCAGCCACTGTGCTATAAGAAGCCATATGCAGACATTCAGGTCTTCAAGAGCCTCAGCTGAACTCAGACAGTAGCAGCAGCCATTCGATTGAGCCACTCAAACGTCCCGCTCAGTGGTCTTCTAATGACTGCAGCCCCAGCCGATGTCTAACCACAACCACATGAGACCACAAGTGAGACCAACCCAGATAAACTCAGTCAATACCTAGAACTACAAAAAATAATAATAAACTGTTGTTTTAAGCCATTAAGTTTAGGGTTGATTTGTTACACAGAAATAGCTGGAATCAGACCCAAGTTGGAGACTGTGGATATGAGAATCTACTTTTATTCTGGGCCTGGAAATGTCAAAGATGACTCTAGGGTCCCAAAAACTTACAGCCCAGTTGTCCTGGGCCTCAGATATTAGAGGCCTATGGATGACTCAAAACTCTGAAATAAAAATCAACCAGAAGAACAGAGCTCTCTGACACTGTGTCCTAGCTCAGACTGTTGGAGAATATCACACAACAGTAAAATCTCACTTAACTTCAAATTCACTCAAGTAGAATTTCAACAAATCACAAATTCATTATATGTGATCTTTAAGTTTTACAAGTTTGAAATAATTTATTTAATTTCTAGCATCATAATTGGATTGAAAGAGCTACTCTACAAATTAAAAAATCAGTAGATGTTTATAATCATGGGCCAATAAAATATTGAAAACACCATTCATTCTATATGATTCCACACACAGTGCAAGGTAATGAGTATTCAGTTGGGGTCAAAGGAGACATAACCTTTGAGCTAGCAATCCAGTATGAGAGGTAGACTCCACAAAGTAAGCAAAACAATGATTACAACTTTGACATGAAATACAGTAATAAAGAAGCGATGGTAGAGAAAATTCTCACCAAGGATGTCTCTCTGGAGAAGAAATATTTAATCTCACACCTGAAAGGTAAGAAAAGCTCCCAGAGTACTTTATACAAGTTAAAGAACTTGATAATTAAAACTCTTATGTAGTAGATAATATAACGAACTGTATTTCTTCTCCATTGACTTGCACTCAGAGCACTTAAAAGTCTTCCTCTGGCATTAAGACTACATTTCAAACTTTGAATTTCATGAAACCACCTCCCTCCTAACTACTCACCTTCCTCTCACTCTTCTTCTCTGTCTTGTTCCCCAAGACCTCCCCAATATGGGCTGCACCCTAGTTCTGCATGCAGCCCCTTTGTGTGACCCTCATGGACACATTCTCCACATTCATCCCCAGTGGTCCTGCTGCACATGACTCACAGTATCAGCCCCCTGCAACCATGTACCATGACCCTGAGAAGGAGCACTCTACCTCACATCCCACCTGAGTCTTAGTGCTCACCTGCTCTTCCAGAGAGAGGAAATTGACATCTTGCTAGTAATCATGTATTTACTAGTATATAATTTTCTGAAATTATTTTCAAGTAATATGTGGACTTTTTTTTTTTTTTTTTTTTTTTTTTGAGACGGAGCTTCGCTCTTGTTGCCCAGGCTGGAGTGCAATGGCGCAATCTTGGCTCACCGCAACCTCCGCCTCCTGGGTTCAGGCAATTCTCCTGCCTCAGCCTCCTGAGTAGCTGGGATTACAGGCATGCGCCACCATGCCCAGCTGATTTTTTGTATTTTTAGTAGAGACGGGGTTTCACCATGTTGACCAGGATGGTCTCGATCTCTTGACCTCGTGATCCACCCGCCTCGGCCTCCCAAAGTGCTGGGATTACAGGCGTGAGCCACCGCGCCCAGCCATACGTAGACTTTTGATCTTATCGGTCAGTCTAATAGCAATGGAGGGCTCACACATCTGCTTCAGCACAAATCAGTGCCTGCCTGACATTAAGACCTGGCTTTCTCGTGTGGATGACATGGTTAGCTGCCTCCCCAATATTAACTCCATTTATCTCCCTTTATGCTGCGTGGGTGGGATTAACATCCATGGCAGAGTCAGCTGGCTGACCAGCAAAGATTCAACATGCTGCCTTCCACAGGATGGAATGCATGCTGGAAAGCAGACGCCCAGTCAAGGCATATTCTCACACTTCACGCTTTTCTTGACCTAGGAGGGGTCACATGATTAGTTCTCACCAATGGAATTTGAGCAGATGTGATATGTGACATTTCTGAGCCAAAGTAGTTGGGAAGTAATGTATCTTCCCTAAGATCTCTTTTTTGGTTTGCAGCAACTTTTGGAGCACCATGTTGAAGATGGAAGAGAGCTAAGATACTGAATAAACCTCCTGGAGGTGAATTAATCAGTAGGATTAGCAACACCCATATCAGTCTATGAGATAACTCAAATTTTACTTAATAAATGTATTACTTAATAAATGTATTAACCCAGAGAAAAGTTAGGATTTATCTGCTATAACACCTACCTCTCTCATATTCATATGGCATCATTTCAAACTCTAGGGTTGGATTCGGACTTGGTTCAGGGATGGGCATGTGTCCCAGGTCTGAGCTGATCAGTGCATAGTGTTCCTCTAGTCACAGAAGTGTCTTCAGAAGCAGACATATTGCCTAACTCAGCCCAATTAGAGGAAAGATTATGATTTTTTTCAAAGTTTTGGAGAAAAAAAGTTTTGTATTTCCTACTGAATATGAATAACAAAGTATGTAGTAAAGCATTTTGTGATGGTCTGAAGCCAACACACAGAGAAAGAAGGGCCAAGAGCAACACTGAAAAACATGGAACCAGAGTCTTGATCCAACTGTACCTAAAGCATAATCTATTAGATTTTTCAGTTTCATAAGCTAATAAGTCCCCTTAATTTTTAAGCCAGCTTAAATTTGTTTTTCTTTATTAATAACTAATATCTTCCAAGTATATACTTCATTATACATGAAACTCTTGTAATCAATATAGGAAAAAGGAATAAATTAAAATCAATTGCAATTTAAACATAATTCACAGTTCACAAAAGCCTAAGTATTCAAATAGCATATATAATTGGCACATCAATAAAACATTAATCAAAATTCATCAGTATTTATACCTATAACATGGACTATATCAGTCAGAATAGGTTAAGTTACTCTTCAGTAGTAACTAACTCCAAAATCTCAGTGGCTTATGACAAGTTTATTTATTGCTAATGTTATGCTATGTGTCCCATTCTTGGTCAACTATGCCTCATCTTCATCTTTTCTCTGGGCCTTAGGCTGCTTAAATAAGCCTCTTTCTGGAACAGGAAAAGGACACAACACAGTGAACCACATGGTGAATCTTACAAACTTCTGTTGCATGTATTGGTCAGAGCAAACCGAGAGTCACAGAGAAAATTCTCCCCAGGAGAGGTAGTGAATATTTGATTTGAGCAATATTAAGATATGTTATTCAAATTTTTAATTCAAAAAAGTATTCAAATAATTTATTTGAACAATAGATGTCTAAAGCTGATAAATCCTAAATTACCTACT